ATGCATTTTGATCTGAAACACATATTTGAGGACATTATATTCAATCATGTAAGTATCCCAGACTGTAACTGGGTTCTGTGCTTTGGACACTAAAACTGTTTCAAGCTTTCACATATTATAAAAAAATGTCATAACAAATATACATAAAACTTAGGGCACACTCTTGACTAATTCCTCAGGGTAAACTCAAGAAACAGACTGAGTCAATGGATGTGGATATTTTCACAGCCTCCCTGATACATTCTGTTAGGCTGTCATTCAAAATGGGAGTGGCAGGTTTTTAAAGAATTTAAATATAAATTACATGAACCATCTGCTCCTATCTTTTTTTTAATGTTTATTTATTTTGAGAGAGAGAGAGAAAGTATGAGTGGGGGAGGAGCAGAGAGAGAGGGAAAGAGACAATCCAAGCAGGTTCCGCACCGTCAGCACAGAGCTCAACACAGGCTCACAAACCGTGAGATCATGACCTGAGCTAATATCCTGGGTCGGACCTTCCACTGACTGAGCCACCCAGGAGCCCCAAATTATCTGCTCCTATCTTTTAATGCAAGACAGATGAGGTCTGAATAAGAGACTAAATTTCCTAGAAAACAAACAGCAGAATTAGACAAAGTAAATAAATCCCATAAATTAAATGACAAGTATGATTTCATAAATAATAGGCTTTACAGTCTGTAAGTTTTGTTCTCTGAGTTATTTTTAGGGTTTCTGACATTACTAAGTTTTGATCAGGCTTATAATTAAAGTCTGTATTCTGATTATAAATCACTGGTATTTAGAATGTGATCCCAGTTAACTGTGAATCTAGGATACAGTCCCTAATGGCCGTAACAGTGAACTATTTCTATAAATGAACATTACCTGGAGACAGAAACTCTCTTAAGAGAGATCTGAAAAAACCAATCAAGAAATATTTCAAGCTAAAAGTACAAGTATTGTTTAAGTTGTTCTAAATGCTATCTTGAAACTAAAATAAAAAAAACAAAAAATATATCAAACAAAAAAGGGGGGAGAGAAAATTATAGGAAAAAAAAATCTAAAACAAAAGGGAAAAAGCAGAAAGATCAAAATAAAAGGAAGAAAAGTAGAAACACTAAGGTGTATTCCATAAATTAGAAAACTGAATTTATTTCATTTTTTTTTAATGTTTTATTTTTTTGAGACAGAGAGAGACAGAGCATGAGTGGGGGAGGGTCAGAGAGAGAGGGAGACACAGAATCTGAAGCAGGTTCCAGGCTCCGAGCTGTCAGCACAGAGCCCGACACGGGGCTCGAACTCACGGACCGTGAGATCATGACCTGAGCCGAAGTCGGGCGCCTAACCGACTGAGCCACCCAGGCGCCCCTAGAAAACTGAATTTAAAAAGAACATTAACATTTGGCACCTGGGTGGCTCAGTCGGTTAAACGTCCAACTCTGGGATTTTGGCTCAGGTAATGATCTCAAGGTTTGTGAGATCAAGCCACACATAGGGCTCTGCGTGGACAGTGCAGAGCCTGCTTGGGATTCTCTCTCTCTGCCCCTCCCACCTCTTACGTGCACTCCTATGTGCTCTCTCTCTCAAAATAAATAATAAACATTTAAAATAAATAAATAAAAGGAACATTAACAGAGGTAACAAACAGAAAGTGCAGTTAATGGGAGGAAGATGGAGAAACTGAGAACAAAGGTCAACGGAACAAACAGAAGGAAAGTGAATAGTCAAATATCATTGGATATTACAATATAGTGTTACAGCTCACTTTTACCTAAGCTGTTATTCAGCCTTCTCAACGAAGCAGGACATAGCTGAGACTTGGAAAACCAAGGAGAAAAGGATTCTCACAGCAGACAAACTGCCAATCACACTACAAAAGCTCCAGTACGTCTCTCATAATACAGGAGTCATCACTTACATTCATACCTTAAATAGAATGCTCAGAAGTTTGCTTATGTTTTCTCCATATTAAAAGTAAATCAGAAGCAGGGCACCTGGGTGGCTCAGTTGGTTAAGCTTCCAACTTCAGCTCAGGTCATGATCTCACAGTTTGTGAGTTTGAGCCCGACATTGGGCTCTGTGCTGCCAGCTCAGAGCCTGGAGCTGGCTTGGGATTCTGTGTCTCCCTCTTTCTCTGCCCCTTCCCCACTCACACTCTGTCTCTCCCAAAAATAAATAAACATTAAAAAAAAATTTTTTTAAGTAAATCGGAAGCAAAGAAAGATTTCTAGAGACTGGTACTCTGATAATCCTATCATGTTTACCAGTGATAAAAGGGACACACACACACACACCACCACCACCACCACCAACAACAACAAAAAGCTCAAGAACTTGAGAAAGCAAAGTTGTCTGAAAACATCAGAAGGGATAAACAACCCAGAGCCTCACAATTAGCCCCAAATGCATCAGACGACGACATCTCCAAGTTATGAAAAATATGTAAATTACAACCAGTGAGCTCTGTTTAAAACAAGAGTGACAGACCACATAAATGTGGTTTCCACTCTGAATGATTAAAATTAAGAAGTGGAGATAGACTTCAATACCTGAAATGTTTTACTTATGTTAAACATCTCATTTTCAAGCGAAGATAATTATAGTACAATAAAAATAATGAAACAGAACTACAGATGATAAAGAAACTATAATTTTGAACATGAAGATAAGGAAACCATATTTTAGGCCTATCTGTATAACACAAATATGGTAATTAGTGACCTAGCGTGGGCTGGTATCTCATCAATCCATATCTGATGTGCAATGATCTGGCATTCTGAATACAGTGACAAGTCACATTGGCCTGAGTATGTGTACTTTTGTGCCGTGTAAATAATGATCACTTGTGTTCCTCTAAGAAATCTGAAAGCCACCTAAAAACAAATGAAAACCCTGCCATTACCTGGATCCCTTCCACATTTCACGTCATACTAAAATTTGCACTTTTTCACTAGCAGTAACAACAGGGAATTGCAGTTATTTTAGTACTCCAGCAACAATTGATATTTGGCAAAGTTTTGGCATTTACTACGTGCCACGTTCCAGTTCTATGTAAATATAGCTGACTTAACCACAGAAACTGAAAGACTCCAGAGTCATCCACAATCTGCAGTTATATCATGTATTTTCTATTTTCAGCCACTTTCTCCAGTACTAATAAAGACGGCAATGTATATTCTTTACCTGGTATCATCGTCATTACAAAAGACATAAAATTCCTCAGGCTCCTGGGTGGCTCAATCAGGTGAGCGTCTGACTCTTGATTTTGGCTCAGGTCATGATCTCACAGTTTGTGAGTTCCAGCCCCAAGTTGGGCTCCGTGCTGACAGCATGGAGCCTGCTTGGGATCCTCTCTCTCCCTCCCACTCTGCCCCTCCCTTGCTCATGCTCTCTCTGTCTCTCAAAATATATAAATAAACTTTAAAAAATAAGAGAAAGATAAAATTCCAACTTTCTTTTCCTTTATGTTTGAATGAAATATAATCTCATCCGTATTGTATTATCTGTCTCAGAAAAACAACATGCTAGAATTAAAAAATATGAAGAAATTTCAGCCCCAAATAGTAATATTTTGAGATACCATGTGAAAAATACATAGAAGAGTATTTAATGAAACTAGAAGTTTTACTACTGAAATTTTGGTTTACATTGCCGCTGATTTCGAAATGAAGATAAACCACGTTAACAGCTGACCAAACATACTATGTAAGACCTTTCTTTAGAATATTGATATCTATATCTAGTGAGCCATCCAGCTTTCCAACTTTCAATGCCATGGTAACATGTAAGAAAAAGCACAGAAGACAAAGGTACCTATCAAGTCACCTTGCCCAAAAGCTTGTGTTTAAATCCAACCAAGCATTTATAGCTTTTAATTAAAACAAAAAATGTGGGACGCAAAGGAACATCATAGGGATGCAATCATCAAAATCCAGTCCATGAGAAATGCTACTGGACAAATGACCCAGTTTCTTCAACAAAGCAATTCACAGGGTATCTCAACACTTCATTAAAACCCACAGCTTCAATCTCACCTCCCTGAAACCTGCCAGAGCTCCTTACGTGTAGTATGGCACTTTGCTCCTTGTACTGCATCGTATGTGCATCGCCCATCACAGCATTAGTATATGGAGGACAACAAAGTAGCTTAGAGCAGGGCTAGAAGCTCAGCAGCCTGAGTTGAAATCCCAGCTTTACCCCCTTAGTTAACTTGTCTGTAAAATGGAGAAAATACCACCTGCTGCTCAAAGAAATTTTAAACATTCAGTGAGAAAATATATGCAAAGCACTTAGCACGATGTTTCGCATATCTCAGGCAGTTAGTAACTATCTAATGAATGAATAAGTGAAAACCATAAGCAGCAAAATTACTGTGAATGTCACTTCCTTTGATGTCACTTAATCCTACAGTATACTTAGGGAACAGTAAAATGACAAAATGGCCAACAGTAAGAAAAGACTTAGCAACAATAAAAAAAAAAAAAAAAAAAAAAAAAAAAAAGACTATAAATTTCTAAATAACTGAGCTGCACTCTAAGGTACTAAGGAAAAGCTTAATCATAGCAAATACCCTCTGATGAAGAATAAGCTTATTTTTTAAAGGGCTAATCTTAACCAAACCTGGTAAAAATAATCAAATTTCTTTTCTAACTAAAGGCAATCAGCATAATCATCTGCAAGCAAAATTTTTAATAATATAGGAAACATTTTTAAAAGACTTTTTTAAGGTCCATGTTCCTGTTCTGAATCTCTTCAGTTTTGTTACTTTATTCTAAAAAAAAAACAAAAAACAAAAAACAAAAAACTAAACAAATTAATTCAACCAATTTGTCCATCTCAACAGTAGGTGGCATAACTGACATATTCTGAGGCAGTTCCCAGTTGTTACAAAGGGAATGATGTAGTAAAAACACAAAAAAGTTCATTACAGCATCATCCAAAATTCTGACAACATTCATTTAAAACTGTTTAAAGGTCCTAATTGGAAAATAAAATCTTTCAAATAATATGAAAGTACTTACATCTCAATTTGTCCAGCATTTTTCCACCACACATCGTTGCTAACATAGCTTTAACTGAAAATACGGTCAACTTGCCTCGGCCCTCACTGCAAAATAAATTATATTAGAACAATTGCTATCTGGACCACAAAAGCATTAATCAAATGTACCACTAAATATCAAGCAACCAGTACATTCACCCCTACCATTATATTCTACAATTATTACCTTGAATTTTTAGAAACCTTGGATTGTTTTTCCTTTGTAGAATTAAGGCCTCATGCATGTTAGGTAAAGAGTGCTAAAACTAACCTGAATTATTTGGAAATGAGCTTTATAAACATTCTGTAAAGAATTTTCTACTGGCTATGTAGACAGAGGCCAAATGGATGAACCAGAAATAAATTTCCTATCAATTTAGCCCATTGAATTCACATTTGAGTTGTTTTTAGTATTCAAAACTGAGGCACCACCTGGTTTGAATAATTCAGAAATGTGTCCCTTCTAGCACGATAACAACAGTTTATTGTTATATAGTAAACCCACAGGGTGCACACTGCTATAAAGGTTTTATAGTACATTCATCTTTGTTCTTACTATGACAACCTTACGTTACAATGTGTTTATTCTAAGAAGCTTGATCGTATCTGTCTCAGATCTTCCCATACCACTGCTGTGAGAAAACTGAAGGGGAAGGGATAGTAATATTAATTCTTTTTTAGTAACTGGAGATGAAATGTCAAACATACATGAATTATCTAAAATAATGCCACACACCACCTGCAGAGACAAGACAGTGTCTGCAAGCCCCTCTGACCCAACCTGGCCACTGCTCCCTCCATCCAACTATTCCCTGGTTTCACAGCAGATGAAAACCTCACTAGCAGGTTTTTAAAGTCATCACTTGTAAACTAACAATGGGCTTTTGTGTTCATTTTATAAAGCTTGCGCTTACAAAGTTTCACAGTAAGAGTAAAATACCTCTAAATACCTCTGCAGTGATGAGAACTATATCACCTTGGTTTTGAAAAGCAAGGGTTTATAAGCCAGAAAGTTCTCAGTGAAAAGATCTCCAGGAAATACTAATGCTTGTTACAGTATGACTTTCGACTATTACATCTCTTTAAGTTTATTCATAAGATAAAGCCAGACTCCCTGTAATTAGCTAAAATTAGGATGGGGTTTTTATTATTTTTAAGTTTTTTTACTTATTGAGAGAGAGAGAGAGAGAGAGAGAAAATGAATAAGCGGGGGAGGGGCAGAGAGAGAATCCTAAGCAGGCTCCACACTGTCAGCACACGGAGCCCAATGCAGGGCTCGATCTCACTAACCATGAGATCACAACCTGAGCCAAAACCAAGAGTTCGGCACTTAACTGACTGAGCCACCCAGGCTTCCCTGGGATGGGGTTTTTAAAATAAAAGTTCTCCAGAAATACAGGCACCGCTCCACATCTTATATGGCACCTGGCAATATAAGGAATATGCCTGTGTCAAACACCCCCTGCACTGTACAAACAACACGAGTAGCTACAAAGAACATCAGCTACTAAGAGGAATGGATTTCTAAAACCAATACAGAACTTCTACAGTGGACATTTCTTTTTGGTCACCAACCATCTAAATGCCAAGTCTACCTTTAAGCATGCCTTATATTATGAGACATATACGTGTCCTACGACCCAAGTGTGAAGAAAAAAACAAAGAAAACCTCACCCACTTGCTTTCCCATCTTTCTTCAAAACTAAGACACGGCCACATGCCACAAGCTCTGCCAGTAAGACGCACCCATTCTAGACCAAATAGAAAACCATTAGCTTGTAGAAGGAGGAACTCCAAAGATCCCACCAGCAAGCATGGCTGCACTAGCAGTTACCTCCAGCTCCCTGAGTGGGCAGAGACACAGACACTTGTGGCAGGCCCACGGCCCAGCGTCAGTGGTATGTGGGGTTCAAGCAACGATATCAGTGCCCCAGAGAGGTGGCAGTGGTGTCTTCATTAGAGCGTTTTTGTGACAATTTTGAGATCTGTTCTTGGTGGTGTGGTCATCAGGCCCACTTTCCCAGCCTTCTTAGAGAGTCTGTGGGTCACACATACCCTTTTAATAAATTAGCCAGAGACAGTTTCTTTTTTTTTAAAGTTTATTCATTGAGAGACAGACAGACAGACAGACAGACAGACAGACAGACGGCGAGTGGAGGACGGGCAGAGAGAGAAAGGGACAGAGGATCCGAAGAGGGCTCCATGCTGACAGCAGAGAGCACAATGCAGGGCTTGAACTGACGAACCGTGAGATCATGACCTGAACTGAAGTCAGAAGCTCAACCAACTGAGCCACCCAGGTGCCCCCAGAGATGGTTTCTATTGCTTACAACTAAGAACTCCACTGGATGCAGTGTGTATCCTGAAGTGAAGTGGCCCAGAAAGATGAAGCAACAAAAGAAAACATTCCTGAAGTCCAGAGTGGGAGCAGGCATGCCTGATGGCCAGCGAGCAAGAATGAAGCGGAAGGGCTCATCAACAGTAGACAGAGCCTCGCTACACAGCTAATGACATTTTTTAAGGTAAACTTGCTCAAACCGTTGTTTGCAGATACAGATTTCATGAAGTGAGAGTATCCAGGGGAAAGTAAAAATTAATCTTAGAAGAGATTTCCATAAAAATCAGCATACTTGGGGCGCCTGGGTGGCGCAGTCGGTTAAGCGTCCGACTTCAGCCAGGTCACGATCTCGCGCTCTGTGAGTTCGAGCCCCGCGTCAGGCTCTGGGCTGATGGCTCAGAGCCTGGAGCCTGTTTCCGATTCTGTGTCTCCCTCTCTCTCTGCCCCTCCCCCGTTCATGCTCTGTCTCTCTCTGTCCCAAAAATAAAAAAAAAAAATCAGCATACTGATTACCTGTGGGAGAAGGGGAGACACAAAAGGACCACACGAAAGGCTTTCCAGGTGCTGACAGTCCTCGACTCCTTGGCCTCCATAGTACCTACATGGGACATCTGCTTTACAATGATTCATTACACTGTACTCTGTTATAGGTATCCTTCTGCAGGCATTTTCTAATTCTCAGTATAAACTGTTTAAAATAAATGAATCCTGGGAAAGCGACAGTTACCATTACTGGACAAGGCTAATGGTTTAAGGCAGAAAATGATGAAGGGAAACCTAGAAGTTAAAAGACACTTAAAATATATAAACTGTATGCATAAAGTTTTTCATAATGAAATGCATAAAAAGAATAAAAATGTTAAAAATACCAAGACCCAGGCCCTATTCTTAATTTTTAAGTTTATTTATTTCTGAGACAGAGAGAGACAGAGCATGAGCAGGGGAGGGGCAGAGAGAGAGGGAGACACAGAGCCCAAAGCAGGCTCCAGGCTCTGAGCTGTCAGCACAGAGCCCGACGCGGGGCTCAAATCCACAAACCGCGAGACCATGACCTGAGCCAAAGTCGGTCACTCAACCGACTGAGCCACCCAGGCCCTATTCTTAAATGCCCATTAATAAAAGACTGGCTATTAATGCTATCATAAAAAAGAATAAAAAAGAATATGTGAAAGATAAAGAGTTATATCCAGGATAGATTACTAAGTTGAAAAAAAAAAAAAAAAAGCAAAGCATGGAAGAAAATAATTGCTAGAATGCTATGTAGCATTCTGTGAAAGGATATTGAAAAAATAACAATGGTTGCATCCAGGGTGGAAAGAAGGCAGCCAAAGGAAAGCATGAGTGTATGGGCACTTTTCACTTTGTAAGTATTAAACATGCTTATATTAGAAAAGACAGTTCTCAAGTCAATAATCTTAAGACACTAGAAACAGAACAGCAAATTAAACCCAAAACAAGCAAAAGAAAAAAAATATGCATAAGAGCAGGAATCAGTGAAATTAAAAAACAGAAAAATAGAGAAAAATGAATAAAACCAAAAGCTGGTTCTTTGAATAAATCAGTAATATTGACAAACCTCCAGCCAGTCTAAGAAAAAAAGAAAGATATTGGTAATACCAATATCAAGAATGAAAGAAGGGTTATCAACTAAGGCTTCTATAAACATGATAGAAATAAGAAAATATAAAGACATTGTGTCCATAAATTCAACAACTTAAATGAACCAGACAGACATAAACCACTCCTCGAAGAACACCAAGTATTAAAGCTCATGCTGAGGAAACAGATAACCTCAATAGGCCCGTATCTATCACAGAAACTAAATCTGTATTTTTAAGCTTTCCAAATAAGAAAGCTCCTCATGCAGAGAGCTATACTGGTGAATTCTAAACATTTAAAGAAGAAATAATTGCATTTCTAAGCTCTTTGAGGGAACAAAAAAGGAGTAAACGTTTCCCAATTCTTTTATGAGACCAGTACTATTTTGATACCAAAAACACAATAATCTATTACAACAAAAGAAAACAAATCAGTATCCCTCATGAATGTGGACACAAAAATCCAGATGCCAAAACCCTACCCTGTTCTTGATATTTTTAAAAAGTTTTTCGGGTGCTCGCTTCGGCAGCACATATACTAAAAGTTTTTCGTGTTATTTTAATATGCATCCTGAGCTGAAAACTACCAACACAGAACTTTGAAGGCAATACTAAGACTTCAGCTTTTATTTTGCAGGTAATGATAAAATCAAAGGACATAATGAAAGATTAAAGAGAATTAATCATATTGTGATTGTATAACTCTTTCTGGCTCCAAATCTCATGTTCTTCCTTCAAAGAGAAAAAAGGATATCTATTCCTGATGCAAAGAAACTGATGCCATTTATGCGAACAGAAGAGTGCAGCAGAGCCCGGCATGCTGACAAGAGAGCCAGGTCAAACTCAACTCTGTTACTCAAGAAAGATTTAACGTACAGTACCCATCAATAAATGCCATATGGCAGGTCTTAATGGGTACTATGACACCTTTACTTCTAAAAATTATCATAAGAGCACTTACCACTTTTTTCTTAAAAACCTCCAGAATGCTTTAGAAGCTAATATTTAAAATACTAATATTTAAAATACTTCGTATCCCTTATTCAAATATTCTTTACTCAGCTTTAATGCAGATATTAGTTCCAAATTCAGAAAGTCTTATATTCAAATACAGGATAACAACATCCTTC